TACACGCCTTGCTCACGCTGCATACTGCTGAGAGTTCTGCGGTGCTGGAGCTAGATTTCCAACTCCACAAGTTTTCGTCCCGTTCGTAAGTTTCACACAGAGATTACAGCAAAGGGAAAGTAATGTAAAACCTGTTTCGTGAGAAATTTCTCAGGAATCCGTGTCAAGAGCCAGACGTGGCTGAAGAGTCACGGAAGTATTTTCACTTCCACCATACACGCCTTGCTCACGCTGCATACTGCTGAGAGTTCTGCGGTGCTGGAGCTAGATTTCCAACTCCACAAGTTGAGAGCCACCGCATCCCCGACCACCACCCCTATCGGTTTCTTGTTCTTATAGCCAGATCACCTTGAAAAGACTGAGATTGGGCATGATCAGGGCTTTGATGGTTTTGTCGTACAGTTGCCAATGGCAGCGGGCTTTGATGGTTTTCTCGTACAGGTTGTCAATGACAGCGGGCTTTGATGGAATATCAAAGCCCGCTCTCCGAGGCTGCTGATTGGTCGTAACCTAGCAAAGGGCACGTGGGTCGTTTGAAATCTGTGTACACCCTCTCGTACAGGAAGCACAGCAAAATTTGGCAATGTCCGGCGGGAAGTTGTACAGCACCGCCGTAGGAGACTTGAATCCCCCACGTGCACGCACCCATATTTCCTCTGGTCCTATGCAGTACACACAGAGTAGTACGGGTTCTAGTACTCACCATATGACACCCGCTCACACCACCTCCAGCCATTTGTCGCAGCCTGTTTTGTCAATGCATGGCACCAGGAGGTATATTATGCTCCGCAGGCCGCGAAAGAGAGCCCGTTACCTGGACCCCTACTCGCGCGGGTAGAGCGAAACTGAGCACCCTGGGATGCGAGCAGCTTTTTAGTACTCCCGGGTCCAAAATCTCACCACCAGGCCGGGATGATCAAAACGTCTGCCGGGTCTGCAGCCTACAAACGTGGATCTGCCGACACTGTGCTGTCGACGACATGTCCGGCAAGGCACCTCCTTGCGTGAAAGCAAGGAACGCTTTTTTTTTAGAAAGGAAGCTTCTTCTCCAAATTTAAAAATTTTGAAAATTATTCCTTCTGAAAATATCATCGCGTTCTTGACCTCGAAGCTGACTGCTGAATGCGATTAGGAAAGAAGATTCCTGAAGATACACCAGACTGATTCTGGCAAGCCGTCTGTCGTCTAGATATGCAGTTGTTCGTCATGCATGGTCAGCAATCTTCCTCGTTCGTCCTTTCGTTTTCCTGACCACGATGATGACAAGCAGCTCTCATGCTCAGGTTAGTGCTGTACTTGTATGTCTGGGCACACAACACATCTGAGATTCACCCACTGACGTTATCGAACTGAAGAATGCAGCAAGGGTTCCTCGGATTCTCTTGATTTCGGAACAAATTTCCTTCACTTTCACCCTCTCAGTCTCTTCCCCATGCCCTCCATGCATGCACAATCGAGTTTGCATTTCAAATGTTGTTTTTACTTTGGCAGTGCGTTCGATAACGTTAGGACAGTCTAAGTTAGGTGTTCTTCTCTTCAGGCTTATTGGACGTGTACAAATTCTAAAAAAATAGCTTCCATATGCTAAACGCAGATCCCTGTGAATACGGTTCTGCTGGGCAATGATGTTTACACCAATCTACACTCTATGCTGTCACAGCATCCACAACTGATCCTCTCTCTCTGAATTAACTATTTGATAAAGCCAATCTTTAAAACGCTGTTGCATAGGATCTCGGGTGGGAAGAAGCGATGAATCGATACATGGCATTGTGAAGAAAAGAAGAACAAATTCACATTGCACGTGAGACTCGGTTAGAAAGACTGAGTTTCTGCATTCATAAGAATGTCACACCCCGGGGATCATGATAAAGAAAACATATGTCGTGAAAATGACTGAAAGAACCAAAGAAGTATTTGATCTTCCAGCCAGCTTAGCCTGGTACTACCATACTAGCAGTGCTACCAAGTACCAGCCCTCCATATTTTCTGTATTTGTACGGAAAATCACTCCTTGTGCGCACTACAGAAATTGAGCAAATGGTATAGAAAATCGGAGAGGATCAATCAGCTGTGTAGAAGCATTGCAAGTGTAAGCTGAGTGATGAATAGTCTTGTACCAAAGCGAGTGCATGCCGTACCACAACAACATGTACATGTAGCACAAAAATAATAATGTCGTGAGTGCAAGTCACACATGTTTTACACTACCAAATGCAGCCACCGACATGCATGTGCGTGTCAAAAAACATTACAGTGCAAGTATGCATGCAATGTACACGGCAGTACGCAAAACACTGCAAGATACGGAAAATCAGAAGTCTGAGTACGCAAAACAGACTCAATTGGTGGGCAGCTCTGTACTGGCCTGTACGGAGGGAGTGAATCTCAATGTGTGCAATGCACGCACTTTGGCCGACAGTGAAAACTATGCAAGTCGTGTTGGTTTGCAGGATGAATGTGAGTCCTTTTAGACAAGCGCCTTAGTGGAGTAGCCCACCGAAAGAAGAGTACTTGACACCGCGAAGTGGAGTCTGCGCATACAACAGTGAGGGGGTAAAATTAGCTATGACTGATTCTGCATGTGTTCTGCATGTGTGTCACATTACACTAGCAGATAGGCACACCTGTTGTTCCAAAAAGATGCTTATGTCAGTGTCTGAATATGTCGTGTACCAGGTAATATTGTTGCCAGGATCTCACGGTGAGAGTCAGACTTGAATATGGTATCAATAGATTATCAATATCATACATCACCATGTACCACCCAAAGTATAATAGCCGAAGGACCCGTTTGTGTGGTGGTGTATGATTTCGTGAGCAAGATGAAGTGGCTACAGATGTGTCTTATATAACACCCTAAGAAAAGATCATCAATTCTGGGGAAAGTGATTCTGGTAGCATGTTGTATCCAGTGTGGCATGACAAAGACTCCCTCGATTTAGCCTGTGGAGAATCCGTAAATACATAAATACAATACATACAGGCATCGCAACCTTCGGATTATATGCTCTTTTGCTTGCCTCCTGGAGTGTGGTTGTACCTTGGTTCACTGTATTAGAATAATAGTAGACTTTGTTTTTCGAATTCGTTTCTATAACATTAGGTTTCTTTCTGTTGCTGCTATGTCTTTTCATGTGTTTTACAGGATTGCCATCTGTTGATGAATACCACTCTGAGGCACTCTCACGAGCGAAGGTGTTTGAGAATCCATGTCGGAATGATGGTCATGTTGGCCTAAAGGTGCATTACATTGCCGATACTCGCCACCTCCACCCTGGAACATGTTCAATTTCTGTTTCTCGTATGGAAGGACCGAACAGGTTGTTTTCCTGTCTCAGTGGACCACTCAAGACTGAACAGCACTGATGGAAGAAGATTTGCCGTGAATCTCGTTCACATAATCAGCCTGTTTAATTGCTGTACTGAGGTGACTGCTTCATAACAATGACCATGCAGCATTAATTTTGGATAGTATTGCAGTGCCCCTAAAATTGGAGAATATCGAATTTCTCTGATAGCATTGTGATTCATTTGTGAATAAACATCACTACTCTTTTTGAGTAGCATAGCAATGACAGAGTTGGTTTAATGTATGACAAAATGGAGCCGCTTTTTAACTTAAACCTGTACTATAATCAGTACCGCCGGAAGCAGTTTTTGATTGGTCCGGTAGTTTCATGGCGGGTACACACGTCCTCCACGGTAGGAAACGTTTGTTGGTGGCCAACAAGTTGGTCTGGTGATAACCTGACCAACCAGACCGGCGGGCCTGATAATTGTGGGGCTCATGAGCAGCTCAAGTACTTAGTATGGTTTTGGACATGTCCCCAGTTAACCAATGAGAATAACCGGAAAACAAGGGGGGCTTTAGATACCGGGCTGACTTAACAAGAGGCAGGATAAGCGCGTTACGGGTTGAGCTTGTCGAAAACCAATTGTACTTCATTATGTGTGAAGGGGTTTTATGAAGAAATATTTTATGAACCAGTGTACAGAGATGGTGCTTATGACGAAAGGAGAGAGGAGAAGTGTGTGAAAGTCGATAAAGGGCATCCGAAGGAACACATCGATCCTTGTTGTAAAGAATAAATCTATGGTTGAAACCTACTTCCCCAAGCGTTCTCTGTTAAGTATAAATCTATGGTTGAACCCGACTTCCCCAAGCGTTCTCTGAGGGGACCGAGGTCTACTCTATCAGTTCATGTATTCTGTGAAGTGACATGACCATTCGTGGGGACCTTGCTCATAACTGCAAAAGTCCTCGTCTGATTTTTCCGCATCAATTGAACGTTATACATGTGCATGTAGTGAAAGCCACATGCAAAAGGCTGTTCCATGGCACTCATCTGCCACCAAGCTCTGGGTTCATTGGCTGAAAATATTCTTCGGCACAGTAAAGTCGTGCGCCCAAGAACGTGGAAGCCTACAGAACATCCAACCTGGAATACTAAGAACACCACAGCCCAAAATTAAGAATTGCGGTGTAGGTTTGTGCTGTTGTCAAACACCGGGATTGTTATGTTGCACATGTATCTGAGCTTTACCACTACATACACGTCTGTCTTTACACAATTACCAATCTGCAGACAGCATGCTGTTTCGTCCTTTAGTTACTAATGGACTCATCAATGCAGCACAGAGAAAATGAGGCAGGTGAATGTCCTAGGCTAGAGAGCATCAAATACAGGTATAGAATCATGCCTTGCAGATCTCGTTACGGCCCCTTCGATGCATGTCTGAACATTAGATGGCTGTGTAGCTTCAGTTATCTCAGAATATGTACTATTTATCCAGCAGCAACAACGTTGGTCACACAACTATTCACTATAATGAGTATGCGTTGGAACACTTTACCCCGAGTCATACTATAGCAGTGTATGCCATGCATGGGTTTACCTCACACACTGAATTTCATAATTTGACATCCAAATCACAGAAGAGTGGTGTTCCAAACTTAGAAATTTGTGATTTCACAGCCATAGATGTTACCAGTCAGGTCACTGTATACAGTAGGTATGCAGAAGAAAATACTAGTAACTCTTTGTGGAAGAGCTGTGCCAAAATGTGTACAGTACAGTAAATTAATAAAAAATGAGAAAAGCAGTGACAAGGCTGTGCATGATGTAGATCTACTCGTACCAGTAAGTACAGTGCACCAGTGAAATTGTTGGTGTAGTACCGGTATACTACTATAATTATGGCATGGCCCATGCCACTACAATCTATTTGCAGTGGGCCGCAGTAGGCCAGTGCAACAGAAAGCATTTCAGAAGCTGTGTGCAATGTTAACATCTATGACATACAAGTAAACTGCCATATAGCACAATCGATTACTCTCAGCCCACATAAGTACAATGTAGGCCAATCAGTAGTATAGATACATAGAGCACACTCTACATCATACATAGTCGGCACCAAATCTATGTTGTCGATGTACTTTGCAATGATGACATGATGGCAAGCGTGCTTGATTCCTTGTACTTGGTTGGAAGTTAGTTGTAAGTTCAGTGGTCGAGGTAAGCAGAGCTGCTCCAGCTTTCAGAATCCTGCATGAAAAAGGCAGAAAGCAAATGTAGGTATAATAGTAGCAAGCTGATGTAAAGAGCCTGTCTTTCAATGCAATAATTCTATCCACTGCATGGACAGACCTGGTGCTTCATTCACCTCTGTTTCTTGCTTTCTCAGAAAACCTACTTCCTCCTTCAGCCATCTAGCTCATGATATACATTAATTTTTCTTTATGCCTTTTCAGCCGTGGTCGACTTTCGCCCCTCCTGTTTGATTGGCAATTGCAGTCAACCTGGGGAATACTGACCCTCGATTGTGAATGAGAAAAGTGTCGCTATTCGCATTGTTGTTACTCGTGAGGTTGGAAGTATGCAATCAAATGTTCACTAGATCTGAAGATTGTGTCGTTATTTGCGAGTTGTTTTGTAAACCCGAGGTAGATTATTCACAAGGTTGATTGTACATGCTATGGGATGTACAATAACTAACCAAACAATAATGGTGTAACAATGATTTGAGTCCATATCCAATTGGATGAACCTAGAGTGCATGATCCATTCCAGAAAGGCGACTTCAGTGAGTCTTGAATTGTCAGCAGCATCATACTTCCATCGAGCTTTTTTTCTTTTTCGAAACGACCCTCTCTTTTCAATTCGAACGAAGGTCAACATACGATTATGGCAGGCATGCACGCACTGATCTTCACTGTATACATGTGCATGTATACTGTACTGTAGTCTGTGCAGTCAACTAGTCGTGTTCCACTTGGCTTATGGTAAGTATCACTACAAGTGCATAGTAGCCCCCCCCCCCACCCCGGGGAGTGCGCGTGAACGGCAACTGTGAACTGGTAAAAGAATTATTCGACACCTTCGTTCGTTTCGATGGAGAAGGTTCATCTGGCAAATTGAGGCCTTCGTTTCACTCCTAGCCCCAGGAGCGAAATTTTCACTCCTTGGCTGCCTGTTTGAGCCGTCCTTGTGGAAGGGTTGATTTATGCATGCCCGCATATACATGTAGACCTTATTCAATAAACGTCACAATCACGTGAACCAGGGTCCCGGGAACCAGGGAGCGGCAAGAGACCTGCACTCAGTGCACAGTGGACTCGGCGTGGGAACATAGGAGTAGAAAAATACCGGTATTTTACTACTCCCTTGTACGAACTGGGCCTTTCTTGCCACTCGTTTCACGTACACGTGCCCCAGCTTACAACAAATCCCTGGAGGCGAGTCCAAAAATCACGTTATCGAATAAGGTCTATAGAAACACAGATCACGTAGAACTACCCCATCCGGGGTCACAACTCACAACGTTTTGGGTACTTAGGTCTCATGTCGTCTCCCCAGGTGCTATGAATCCCTAATGCACATGTATCTACATATACAATGTAATCGTAACTCTACCAATATTGCGGACGATGACCCTCCCCCCCCCCCCCGGCAAACAGAAAGTCCTGGCCGAGTTTATCTTTTAATTAAATGGTTTTCTCGGTTGGGATTTCATACCTGACAACCATCCCGATTTGGCCGGGACCGTCCCGATATCGAGGGCGGTAATAGGCACCCAAAAGTGCACTAGTTCCATGCCTCACCGCGAGCTTCTTTTATATACATTTTCATGCCTAGGTATGTCATTGGATCTCAGGTTTGCAAAGGTTGGCAGGTATGGGATTTGTAGAGTGACCAGTTTTGACTATTGCCACCTGCTGTGCAGAAGTGTCATTCCTACATCCTGGCTGCAAACGTACCCCCCCCCCCCCCCCCCCTCCCCCACACACCACCACCAACAATGTTCGATCCTATTTACAGGACCTCACTCTATATGAAAGTGTAGCAGAGGCACTGCCAAAGTATAAAAAACAGCAATTGAAATGCAAGCTGCATTGTGCATGCATGGAGGGCATGGGGAAGAGACTGAGAGGGTGAAAGTGAAGGAAATTTGTTCCGAAATCAAGAGAATCCGAGGAACCCTTGCTGCATTCTTCAGTTCGATAACGTCAGTGGGTGAATCTCAGATGTGTTGTGTGCCCAGACATACAAGTACAGCACTAACCTGAGCATGAGAGCTGCTTGTCATCATCGTGGTCAGGAAAACGAAAGGACGAACGAGGAAGATTGCTGACCATGCATGACGAACAACTGCATATCTAGACGACAGACGGCTTGCCAGAATCAGTCTGGTGTATCTTCAGGAATCTTCTTTCCTAATCGCATTCAGCAGTCAGCTTCGAGGTCAAGAACGCGATGATATTTTCAGAAGGAATAATTTTCAAAATTTTTAAATTTTGGAGAAGAAGCTTCCTTTCTAAAAAAAAAGCGTTCCTTGCTTTCACGCAAGGAGGTGCCTTGCCGGACATGTCGTCGACAGCACAGTGTCGGCAGATCCACGTTTGTAGGCTGCAGACCCGGCAGACGTTTTGATCATCCCGGCCTGGTGGTGAGATTTTGGACCCGGGAGTACTAAAAAGCTGCTCGCATCCCAGGGTGCTCAGTTTCGCTCTACCCGCGCGAGTAGGGGTCCAGGTAACGGGCTCTCTTTCGCGGCCTGCCGAGCATAATATACCTCGCACCAGACCACACCCACCTGAGCAATCCAACCCAAAGTCGAGTGCTGCAGGTGCAGAGTGGTCGGAAGTCACACGCCGTAGGGTTACGTCACGCTACGTGAAACCACAGCCCAGAGCAGCCGACCCGCATGTGCTAACAGGGCCTGAACGTACAAAGAAGCTTGTTCTGTACGTTGGAAATGTCAGTCCGGGTTGCAGGGCAGAGTCAATAACAGCGTGGTGCAAGGCCCGCCAAGTTGACGTACTGAACTGTTCGATTTCAGAAAACACGTACCTGGGTACTAGCCATGCTCGCGTAACCGTGGCAGCATCGGACGAGGACAAAGTTCTCGACTCCAAATTCTGGCCGGCCACCATCCAGCACACAGTGCGAAAGTGGCGCTTTGCTGATGCCCAAGGTAACAGGTCGTCTTCTACTTCGCGGCGAGGCAGTGATGATCAATCCTGAACTGTCATGCTAACAAACCAACATACACAACGATGCAGCAACAACGACTAAATCCCAAAGCCCCTGTATTCACCCCACGATCGAAACTAGCCCGCCCGCTCTACCCCGCTCAGCCCTCCTCTGGCCGACCCGCACACATTGCATGTCCAGCGCTAAATCCATCAGCGTTCCCTTTTTTCCCTAAATCCCAGCGTGATTTAACCCTAGTATCTCTGAATTGTCGCTCTGTTGTCAACAAGTTGTCTGAGCTCTGCGTTATTGCCGAATGTGCTAAGCCTGACATAATCTGCCTAACAGAGACGTGGCTCTGTCCCTCGAACCCGCTCTCACTGTCAGGCTATATCTGCATCCGCAGAGATCGACCTCCGGAAGACAATCGGTCAGCACATTGTAGCCGTGGGTATGGGGGTGTTGCCGTACTTGTCCGTTCGGACTCCTTTCCGTACGTCTCCCCTCGTGCCGACCTTCAACGCCCTGGCTGCGAGTCTGTGTGGCTTGAACTTGGCTCCCCCTCTACTCAATCTCAGAATCCCATCTTACTATGCTGCATGTATCGACCACCCTCACAGAGCACAATGCAATTGTCGTACTTTTGTGACATGTTTGTTGAGGCATTACAGTCAGTCTGTTTAGATTCTTATGATCTGCTAGTGACTGGCGATTTCAACGCCCACAACTCAAGCTGGTGTCCCACCGATTCTACCTCGAAGGCTGGTGGTCTCCTTAGCACAGTATTTGCTGCTCTCGGGCTCCACCAGATGGTTGACTTCCCCACTCATTCCTCGCCTAATGGCTCTGTTTCGTGTCTGGACTTGGTTGTTGTTGTTGTTGTTGTTGTTTATTTTACTTCGCAGATTCTAACGGGCAAGTTGCCCAATAACAAGAAAGCGAAGGCAAAGAAAATAATAATACTAATTAAAAGAAATAACCGGGGGCAGCAGAAAATGAATAATAGCTTTAAGAACTCAGATGGTGAGCCAAGGAACAAATTTCCATGTTACAAATAATCGCTTTTAAAAGTAAAAAGAAAAGAGCGGGTAGTACAGCAGACTTCCTATTCTGAATTCCCTGAACGAAGCAGAGACATTAGCTGGGTACATTACACAGTAGGAAGAGAGCTACCTCGGTCGACATCAGTGGACGTGGACTACGAGTGGATGCGACATACGAGTGGATGCGACAGCAACAGTGACTGGAATAATGGGTGATACGTTTCATGGAGTGAGCGTGTGTGGGATGACTGACATCTTGAACACACTGCGTTGGGGGATGGTGCGGATGTCGCTGGGTAGTGCGTTCCACAGCTTGGGAGCGGCAACAGAGAACCTAGCCTGACCAGCGCGGCTTGCGGCGGGTGGTATGTGCGCTCCGATGTCCTTCTGCAAGCGGGTACGCCGATCTGGTGACCTTGAAATCAGTCCACAGAGCCGGTTCCCCGCAATGCCGTGGATGCATCGCCAGGTGAGCAATAGCGCCTTTTGCTTGTGCAGCTCTGAGATTCGGTAGAGTTCCACCCGTTGGAGCAGAGGTTGAGCCGAGTCGTATGGCCGAGCGCCAAAAACTGCGCGAACCGCTTTGTTCTCTAGCGTCTGGAGATCCGTTGCTTGCTGGGCAGTTAGACAGAACACGAAACAACTTGATGCGTAGGTCAGATCCGGCATCACCACGGACTTCAAGTAGGTGACTCGGGCCGCCAGGCTCAAGCATCTCCGAGTCCGCCAGAGGGCACCTACTTTGCGGGACACCTTTGCTGTAATGGCTTTCAGGTGTTGCTGAAAGTTCAGCCCCTCGTCAATGATGACGCCAAGGTACTTCGCGCTGGTGACTGTCGGCAGAGCTTGGCTGCGACAGAGGACTGTGACCCGGGGTCCAGCGTCCCTACCAGGAAAGACTGTGAGAACTTGACTCTTCTTCTGGTGATCACCAACCGACCACGCCTCGTGCGCTCAATTGATCAAGCACCTCCCTTGGGTATGTCTGACCATATACAGATTGTTTGCACTTTATGTTACGCCCCTATTTCGAACTACTTCCCCAACTCTGCCACTGGTCCTCCCTCTTCACTGTATCGCTTCAAACAAGTACCTTCGCACCTTTGGCAATTAATCAACGCTGATTTAGCTGGCTACAACTGGTCCTCTCTGAACTCGTACACTGATGTTAATGACGCACTTCATCACTTTGATTGTGAGCTCCAGTCCGCCTTCCGTCGGCACCTCACTTCATTCGGAGCCACCCACACTGTGACATCTCCACGACCCCGCATGCAATCTCCACCATGGGTTACTGCTGAGCTCAGGTCTGCTGTAAAACGCAAGCGTGATCTATATAGTGTGTACAAAAAATATCCCACAGCAGTAAATCATGCAGCTTATAACCGACAAAGGAATGCTGTAAAGCACCTGTCTCGGCAAGCACATCGTCAATATATACGCTCCATCCAAGCATCACTAACGTCACCGAATCGACCTACACTCTTTCAGTTTGTGCGAGCACAGCGGCACACTTCCGGCCGTGTCATGCCCCAAACGATGATAGCATCCGACGGTACGGTCGCCACGTCCCCCAAGAGCATAGCTGATGTTCTGAACACTCAGTTCACCTCATTTGGGCTACCTGATGATCCTTCGTGGCGCATTCCCCCTTTGTCCCAGTCGCCTTTCATATCTGTTCCGTTCCGTACAATCACTGTCACTACGTTTCAAGTTCGGAAATATCTGAAGCGCCTGAAATGTGGAAAGTCTCCCGGCTCAGATGGGATCCCGAATGAAGTGCTGCAGTCTCTTGCACCATCAATAGCCTATCCTCTCGCCATTATTTTTAATATGTCATTTCGAACTGGTACATTCCCACAGGATTGGAAATCCGCCATCGTGACACCGCTTTACAAGAATAAAGGCTCCCGTGCTTGCCCGGCAAACTACCGCCCCATCTCTCTGCTGCGCACAGTTTCCAAACTTTGTGAGCGTATTGTATTCGATTCCCTCTACCTGCACATCGCTCCGGCTCTCTCACCAGCTCAGTCGGGATTCTGCCGTGGTGACTCAACTCAATACCAGGTGACTCGACTTGTCCAAGACATAGCGACAAAGAGGAACTGTGGGGAGCACGTGGGAATGGTGTTTTTCGACTTGGCTAAGGCATTCGACACCGTTTGGCATCGTGGCTTACTTGCCAAGTTGAAGGTCACCTTCCGGGTGGAGGATGCTGCCTTGCGTTGGATATCCTCGTATCTGTCTGCTCGTTCTCAGGCTGTTCGCTTGTTCTATTTCTTGTCTGATCCCCTCCCTGTAACGTCTGGAGTGCCCCAAGGTTCCATTCTGGGTCCTTTGTTATTCTTGCTTTACGTTAATGACCTACCTTCAGTTGTCCCCGATGTTAGTTTGTATGCGGATGACACTGGCCTTATCTGTTCTGATTCCTCCCCTGCACAATTACTCCTTACCATGCAGCATCGCATCAATAGCACTGTCATGTGGATGCAAACGTGGAAACTCCAGCCCAATTTAGACAAGACAGAAGCCATGTATATTTCTTCATCCCCTCCTGATCAACCATTATTCTTCCCTGACTCGACTATGCCTATCCGTGTTGTTACTCAGCACAAACATCTAGGTGTGATGTTTGACTGCAAACTCTCTTGGGCTGCACATGTCAACTGTGTATGCAAGCGAACCAGTTCAGCCTTAGGGGTACTACAACCACATTGCACTCATTTGCCCATCCAGTGTAAACTATTATTTTATCAGTGCTATATTCTCCCTATATTCGACTATTGCGATACCGCTTGGTGTGGCCTTTCTGACACAACTCTGAGCCAATTAGAAGTCCACCATAGATTTATACTTAAAATTCTTTACAACAAGGATCGATGTTTTCCTTCGGATGCCCTTTATCGACTTGCACACACTTCTCCTCTCTCCGTTCGTCATAAGCACCATCTCTGTACACTGGTTCATAAGATATTTCTTCATAAAACCCCTTCACACATGATGAAGTACAATTGGTTTTCGACAAGCTCAACCCGTAACGCGCTCACCCTGCCTCTTGTTAAGTCAGCCCAGTATCTAAAGTCCCCTTTGTTTTCCGGCTACTCTCATTGGTTATCATTACCATACGGTCTGAAAACTTGTTCTTCTATTGGTCAGTTTAAAGATCTACTATCACAACTGAACTAGACGCAATAATTATCATCGAAGAACATTCTCGAATACCTGGGTGATGCACGAATTTTGATAGTGCTCACTTCCGTTAATCGTTTTTCTTTGTAATTTTCCATTCATTTTCTGCTTTAATTCATATTTGCTTTGTTTTCCTAGCTTACTATTGCCGTGGCTGGCTCAACGCCCTTGTCTCAGGGGATTCTGTCCCTGCATTAGCTATGCTTGTCACATGCTATGAGATTGTGTCTAATAATAATAATAATAAGGTCATTCTGTGGATGTTGCAGAATTTCATGACCTTCATAAAATTGTCTTGTCTTTCAGAAAATTCAGATGTCCACACCCTAAATCACATTTACATGAGAATTGTAA